ACTAACATGTAATACTCTGTTTGGATAACACCTCAGCTCAGACACAAGCAGTCGTGGTTACACCAATCCAAACTGCTGCCTCTGCATCCGTGCGGTTTGGTTGAAAAAGAGGGGCTAGTGCTGGGACAGCAGAAATTCTGCCAGCTAGTCTTGGCTAATGTCAGCCTGATGGAGGCTCCAAACCAGTGGGGTGGGATGTACCACTACAACCCTCTGCCCTATGGTCTACCATTATAATTAATATGTTGTTGTATCAAAGTTGAAGCATTTGCCTCCAAAATGTCCTGCGCCCAGCCCCCTTATTAAAGACCTGACCTCCAAGCAGCTGAAGGTTGCTCTGCAAACTTGGCACACCCCCGAGCGAAAACATCTGCTTTCCTCACAGGCAGGACTGCCATGGACCCCACGTCTCAGCTGGTTCCCACAGCCCAGCGAGAGAGCCCTTCCCCTGTCCTCGCGCACTGACCCCCACATTTATAACCACACCCCCACCGCCACTGAGACCTCCTTAAGCCTTGGGCGCAGGCCTGGACCTCTCCATCACCTCACCCCTCCCCTGTCCACATGTAGCACTGTGCCAGTGTGGTCACTTTACTGCTGAGAGGACTGCTCCTGTCTTGTTATCCCCGCATCAGAGCCTGTCGAGAGGAAGGGAGGGATGGAGGGATGAGAAGGAGGGCAGTCGTGGAGGGAGGGGGGAAGAAGGCATCTGCGCTGCTCCCACAAAGCGGCGACTGTTGGAACGCTGACAGAAGCATCTGTCATCCCCTGCCTTCACACATCCACCTGCTGTCCTAGTCCCTCACTCTTTCCATCTTCCTCCTTTGTTTCCTCCCACTTCCTCTCCACCTTCCTGCCTTTTTGAATGTTTTGGTGATTGTGTGGAGCTCTTGGGCGTCTCCTTTAGAAGTCCCATACTCTGAACACCCACTCATTCTCACTTTTAATGAATTAGAGCTCCAAGTGCGGGTCCACACTGCATTAAATATGGCACCTGTGCTGGGAACTTTTCTTTCGTCTGGTGACTGCTTTCCACTGTACTTCTTCATCTCTAATCATCATAGGCTTTCTTTGCCAAGTCAGTGCCAAATTAAGCCATATTTATTAACAAATATTGCCACGGTGTTAATGAATGTACTGACCTGTCTTGTGACTACTTTATCATTCTCCAGTGGCACCCCGGCCGTTCCCCTAACATGCTGAAGGGTTGCCAGCAGTAAGGGGAAAGATGCCAATCCATGTGTATGACACACATACATACACATAGACACACACGCACACACACATAAAAAGAAAGCACAAGCTCAAGGACACCATCATTCATTCAAGTCAGGAGAAGGTGCCCTTCAGATGATGCCACAGAGGAGTGTGCAAAAACCCAAATCGATGATTTCATCAAAGTTTGACGGGGAAAAAACCTTTGTACATTTTCAACATTACTCGTACTTACACTGAGAGACAGAAGATAGTCTTGCTTGGCATTAAATTCTGCTCATTTTACTCCACACTATGGATTTGGGGGGTATTTGTTTTTGTTACAAAGGCTTTAAGAAGTGTGGGGGGCTTCTTAAAGCCTGGGGGGCGGGGATGCATCTTGTACAGATTTGGCAATCTGGAGCTACAAACCTGACAGATGTGGACTCTAATTTTTGTCTTAGCAGCTTATCTGTATATTAGGCATAGGTTTAGTCAAACAACCAATGTGCACTCGCCTTCAGATACAAGCACAAAAAGCTTGATTGCACATGAAATATGCACAAGCTTAAACAACTTGCACAGAACAGAAGTTTTATTGTGTAGATTTAAACTTTTTTAATTAATGTAATTTTAAATCTAAATGCAAACTATTCCGATGTTTTATGATACTCTACTGGAACACGTTGTTTGCTTAAAGCTATTTTTTTAAAACCACCATAAGAGGATTTTGTGGCTCTGCTCCCACTTTTGTCCTCTGATTTCAGCTACACAGCCACTGAACAATTATTCAGATCTTTCAATTGAGTAAAAGTGGAAACACCACAGTATGAAATCACTTCATTAGAAGTAAAAGTCCTCCTCGGAAAATGGAACTCAAGTAAAAGCTGATTTTTTTTTTTTCGCAAAATGTGCTCAGATAAATAAAAGATATAGTGCAGTTACAGAGCATGCACACACCTATGAGAGACAGCACTAAGACGATAAAAGCTGGACCGGTTAAGTAGTGGTGTGGCTAATGGGGTGAAGAGAACAGGTGTATTGGCAAGTGTGACTGAAAGTAGTGGAAAAGTCTGAGGCCATCTAGTGGCTGGCTAAAAAAACAGGTCTAGAAAGTGTTGGAGGGGTGCATGAACCGGGGGAGGGGGGGCAGAGCAGTTGGAGGCAGGGACAGGGACAGGAATCCTGTCTGAGCTACGTCAGCTGTTTCATACGCTGCTGGCTTCATGTTTTTCAAATGACATTTTAAGTATAAAATATTAAAACATTTTTTTCAAATACAAAACCTTATTGCCAGCATACATTTTTATGGCATGTGTGATTGTATTATTTTTTGCCTTCCATGGATTTTGAATTATGTTTTTTCCAACACAGTTGGAAACACAGTTAACTCATAATTGAACAAAGTGTTCTTTTTTCCATGGTTGTGATTGCACTGCTTAATATAAGGTAAGGCTTCATGGACTTTGTTTTTCCTTGCAGAGAACCTTTCTGAACACCTGCTTCCTTTATTTGGAAAACTAACATAAAGTGCCCTAAAAATGTACTCATGCGTTTTACTTGAGTCAATATTTTAAGTTTCTTTAGGTTTTTTGAGTTTTATGATGCTAATAAAACAGTACACTCTTATTTATAGTTTTTATTCAGCTCATAAGCTATCAGATTAACATCAGAGCTCACCTGAGAGTCGGACTTTCACCTTTTTGGTGTCTGTGTGTGCTAGTTAAGCAGCTCCATTTGTCTGTGGCAGCTCTGTGGCTCTAAATGCTGCACAGCTTCCATGAAGTCCAGCTGTCTCCTTTCTAGGCTGTCTCATTGTCATGGCGGTCCAGAGGACGGCACTAATGTAGGGAGGTGATTTTGAATGGCAGTGGTCATATATAAAGTAGCTTCCCTCAGCATGAGCGAGGACGCCGCGAAGAAGAGAGGCAGGTTAACAAATGAGTGAGGAAGGATTGCAGGACTTTGTGGCCCTCAGAGACAAAGTGGGTTGGGATGTTCTGCCAACTCCTCGTCTGGCAGGGTGAAGGATACACATTCACGTCCATGCACATGCACACATACTGTCATCTCTCTATACCTTCATCCCCGGGCCTCTGCCATAGCCGTGTGTCTAAGCAGGAACCCCACTAAGCTGGCTGGGATCCAACTCTAAGGTCTCTCACCTCACAGGCTGGGCAGGGGGCCTGGTAGCTCCTGTGAGTTATTCCTGGGCATGGACCTGGGTTCCACCTCGTTCTCTTCTCCTTTTGTCTCATCCACCCTCCTCTGGCCCACACTGGCCTCCTCTTCTCACTTATCCCCCTCTCTGGGACTAAGTGGCTGGTGCATCTGTCCTTCAACTATCAGCATCGTCTATTGTCTTGATAATACACACAAGCACACACACACACTTAGATTTATGTACACTTGTGTATCTGTATGGCCACAAGTGCTAAGGTCACCTTCATTTACCTACAACATTTGAGGTCTTATAGTAGTATAAAGTGCTTCAGAGCCTTGTGGATGACTTATGGAAAGATATTTTTATTAGTTTGATAACTTTTCCTACAGTACATTTCAGCCTGTATATAAAAAAATGGAGGAACAAAGAAGAGAATATTTAAATTTGTGAGAAAAGCTGATGCAATAATACATTTATATAGTCATATGAGTGTGTTTTATATATGTCTGTGTCTGTGAATATTGCCTGTAGCCAATTTTAGAAATAGGTAAATACGCTACTCTCCAGTCTTTTATCACTCTTAATTAAACTGCCTTTGTATAATAGTGAGGTCCAAAAACTAATTTCAGAAGCTTTTGCTCAGACAGAGCACATCTGAAGACTTGCATTAAGATCCACGAAATTAATAAGGAGATTTAAGCAGCTAACTGATCAATTAAGAAAACAATCTGGGCATCAACTGATAAGAAAATAGCAGTTTTAACTCTAAGATTAGTCAGTAAAACAGATAAGCTTGAAACTCTAAAAAAGAGATTCCAGTGTCCATTGGTAGTTTGCAATATGCACTGTAGTATTGAACTCCTCATAGTACCAGGAACCGAAATTTTTTTTTCATGGGAATGTAATAAAATGAAGACCACACATAAGTATTTTACTGTAATAATTACAAACTCAGGACTGCTTTCAGTCAATATGTTATACCTAGATTTGTCCACTAGATGTCACTAAATGCAAACCAAATTGAGTCGGGACGTCAGCCATCATATTCCAAGTGATTACCACATCAAGCACATGCTTTTGCACCTCGTGATGCTGGTTTACAATAAAATGAGAAAATTAAAGGCCTTTTTTTGTCTCTCAGGTAATATTGCCTTAAAATAAGATTAAAATATACCATCCCTGTATGAGAGATAGATGGCATCCGCAGCATCAGGACCAGCTGCCGACCTCCCACTCTGACTCTCACGACCCAGGAATATGTACTGAGCGATCTGTTGGATCAGAATTAACGCTGAATGTAAATGTTTAGAATTCTTGTATCTTTCCTTAATCCGACCCTTATAAGTTTCCATAGTTACAACTTTGAGCGTCAACGCTTATCGGTTTAAGCTTTTATATAAAAGCGCATGCGCAGACGTTAACGCCCACTAAAGCTGCATCCATCCCAACTGGGTACTAGCGTTATTACCCCTCAAATACATGTCGCACAAGACTCCAGGTAATCATCACAAGCATTTGGCATTTATTTAATTATCGTAATGGGTTGAGCTCGATTTGATACACAGAGAAAAAACCAGGTAGTGGCTTTTAATTAAAATCGACTCCCCCCGATCTGCACTGTATTGGTACAGTCTATTGACGTCCTGCGCGGGAGCGGAAAACGTGCATCCGAGTGTGCGGAAAAGGAAAGGAGCAGTGTGTTTTCTTATTAACAATTCTGATATACTATCGATTTTTCGAACCGCAGCAAATAGCCTGCTTCCCCGTGGAAGTCTCTAAACGCTAGAGGTCAGTGGAAAAAGCTGTTTTGTTTGCAATTAATGGCTAAACGCTAGCTAGCGTGTGTGTTTGTTGACGAAGCGTTTCGCTTTGCTTGCATCGCTCGCGCGTGTTAATACACCCTGCTTTCACTTGTTTTTAGCCAGCGATGAGATTAGCATGAACACATTAAACAAATCCATATAATGTATGGCTGTTTTATCACAGCAAACGTGACTGTCATATTTGAATGAACTCCGGACTCCAGAGGATGTTGGTTGTGGTTAGGGGAGGGGCATTGAATGAGGGTTTCCCATTGGTGAGAAGACGCATCACAATGTGGTACATTATATTGAAGTTTAAATTTACTGATTTTTCCAGCTTGGTGATACGTCCAACATGACTCGAGATTGGAAACCTGGCGATCTGATTTTTGCCAAGATGAAGGGTTATCCACACTGGCCTGCAAGAGTAAGTGCGATGCTTGTATTGTGGACAGACATACAAGCACCCAAGCAAATAAGCCACTACCATTTACAACTGTAAGCAAACATCTGCTTTTTCTTATGTCTTTGCCAGATCGATGAAGTACCCGATGGTGCAGTGAAGCCATCCAACGTCAAGTTTCCAATTTTCTTCTTTGGCACCCATGAAACGTTAGTAACAGGCAGCTTGACACCTCCTTCAGTTTGATGTACTTACGGTGTTCTGCATGTTTCATTTGGTCTGAGTGATCTGAAGAGATTCGACTAGGTAAACTTGTTGAAGATCTTTACAGAGGTGTCACATGACGCAGACGCAAAACTGTAGAAGGATACATGTGACCTTTTCATTGTATTTATGAGTCATTGGAATGACCGGGAAGTGACTTCAGTGGTTATGAAAGTACATTTTGTTATTGTTTTAAAAATTTTAGAGCCCTGTCAGTCCTAGCAGTGCATGTACTCACCGGACTTTATACTACACAGCAAAAAAAAGTATTAAATATACAAACATATTTTTCTGCAGTGCATTTCTTGGCCCCAAAGACATTTTTCCATACCTCCCTAACAAAGAGAAGTATGCCAAGCCTAACAAGAGAAAAGGATTCAATGAAGGATTGTGGGAGATTGAGAACAACCCAAAAGTAGAGCTTACTGCACCCAAGGTATATCCTCCTCTTTTCTTTTCTTTTCTTTTTTGTCTTCTCCAAAACCTGTCCCAGTATTTGTCCTGCAGACATCAGGGCATTGGGATTGAATATACATCATAAAACGTGTTGCCCGGCTTTCTGTTTTGCTGACAAACATAAGTGGGCACCAGTTTGCATTCAGAGCATTTAGCCTTTAGCTACCTAAAAACTCAAGTATGGTTTGTTTACAGGAATAGTTTGGGTCATATTTGTTTAACTTCAAAGAAATTACCTGTTTCCTGCTGCCCTGTTCGGATCATCTGACATTACTGAATGTGCACAGCTACTTCTGAGCCCTGTTCTTGTGTTTTTTTGCCCAGTTTAATTTAACCAAATTCCTTTTTGTTTGTATTTGAAGCCGGTTCCCCCTCAGTCTTTTGGTGAGAAGGATTCAGACAGCAGTCCAGAAGGAGAAGAGGATGCAGATGACAAGGTGATCAAAGCCAAAGTAAGTTTTTCTCTTCAGATCCCCTTCTGCAGACTGTATTTCACTTCACTGCACTCACCTTCTGCTCGTTTGTCCATGTGTCACCAGCTTCTATCCTTTTGTTTATTTATTTGGTTTTTTGCTAGCCCTCAAGTCTTCCTCTTGCCTTCTTTATGATGAAAACCATATGACTGCAGCCAAAGCTTCACAGATTATTTGCTATTCTTTTATAACTGCTTCAGAGGCTTTTATGCCAACAGTTGTGTGTGTGTGCAGCAGAAGAATACTCGCTAACTTTTCTCCCTTTCAAGACTCGTTCACCCCACCACGCTGCGTCCTATGCTGTGTCTTGGGTGCATTCAGGTTCCAGGAAGTGAGGCTGAGCAGGAGAATGAGAATGAGGAGGAGGAGGAGGAGGAGGAGGAGGAGGAGGAAGGGTCTCTGATCTCTGAGCAGGGTCATCAGGACCAGGATGTACGTACTTTGCATGTTGTAACGCCCTAAAGCGGTGCAGGTTATTCTGTTCTCCTTGGGAAAAGCATGTGACACCTGGTGCTTTTATTTAATTGGTCGAGTTTTTGGTTTGTTTGTTTTCCTGTTTGACTCAAAATTCTTGTCGTTGGCCACAAAACGTCCCCGGTGCTGGACGTTTCGATCGGAGAGCCTGGTGTGGGTTTTGCTGTTTTTAATGCTTTTGAGGTGATCGCTGATTTTGAAACTGATAGGTTTCTAAGAAAGCAGTCTGTTTGTTTTCACTAGATGAAATAATAATAATAAGCTCAGGTAAGGTCAAAGCTACCAGTGGAAATGGCTGTAGATCTAATCTGTCTTCATTCAAGACCCAGTTAGAGACCCGGCTATAAAGAAAACACAAAAAGTGTAATTTCTTCTTCTCTTTCCACCTCTTTGGGATTAATCTGACGTCCTGCTGCAGCGCTTTGCATTTCCTGCTTTTTCCTATCCATATAATGCACAAGTACTGTTTTCAATCAGTTAATAGTATTTTATTTTGCATGGCTTTCTGTGTACCTTGGAGAAAGGTAAGTCGGGACTCATAATTCAATTAAATTAAAATACATTATTTTACTATGACATTCTTCTTGCTGTGACTGCAGTAATTTAATGACTCACATGTTGTGTCCTATTTCTTTAATAAATACTGATTCATACTCAAGCTTTAATACCCCAAAATCTTTGTACTCATACTTATAAAGTCTATTTGTGTGTATGTGTGTATATAGCTGCAAACAAACTAACTAACAGGCCAAAAAAAACCAAACTTGTAGTGAATAAAGGATTGATATATTTAATGATTCACAGAGTGTAGTATTTCAGGTATACACTAGATGGTGCCACTGACACCCCCTCCCCCACTACCATCAGCACCACCACCAAAGTCAAAGACAGATTGATGCTTCTCTTTTTTTTTAAATCGGGGAGGACATTTACCTGCTCATTCTCTTACTGCTACAGCTTTCCTTCTTATATATAAAATTGAATTGAATTGAATTGAAATTATATTAATGAGATAACAAAGAAAGCTAAAATTTGATGTGCGTTCTGATTAAAATAACTGGATGTGTCAATAATTTTAGGACTCTGCTCAGAAAGAATCACCAGATGTACCTAAACCCAAGCGAGGAAGAAAGAAAAAGGTTGGCACCGGCTATTAATTTGTTTAGTTTAAAAGAAAAAGTGTAATAATAATAGATTATAGTTTTGGGTTTTTTTTGTTTATTAATTGGTCTTCAGTACTTTGTTTTTAAATTCTTTTATTTCTTCCTAAATTTCAGAACAATGCTGACCAGGAGAATGACAAAGATGATGTACCAGCAAGTCCTGTTAGTCCCACCGGTAGGCTGTTTGTTTTGTGGTGCTGGTATGATAATCATGTAGGAGCAATAAGAAGTTAATAAATCAGAAGCTCATATTCATGACAATACATCTAATACACAGGAACGAGGTGGGAATTACAGCTTGTAGCCTGTATGATATATACATTAAACTTACTGGCAACTGTTAACAATGCATTATTATAGGACTGGACAGCTGTCCTTCATAACTTCTGCATATGATCAAAATGAATCGTGTGTCTGTGTGTCTCCATTCATGTGATTAGGTGGAGAAGGCCCTAAACGAAGAGGCAGGAAGCCCAAGAGCGAGAAGTTGCTTTTGCTTCAGCAGCAGGAACAGCAAGGCTCCGGCAGTGAAATGTAACTACATGATTATTAACAGACACCGTACAAAATTCATGCAGACACAGAAGCTCCATGCTTTCTTTGCACAGTTTCTGCAGTGGCCAGATCCTGAAACCCCAATTTCACTGGAATGTTAAAAGCTAAATCAGCCCAGCAGTATAAAAACAGATGCATTTTTCTCTTTCTTTTTTATTTAGGGAGATTGGAGAGTCAGACAAGAAGCGAAAGAGGACAACAGAGGACAAGACCCAAAGTGGAGAGGAAGAGAAGAGGAGGAAGAAGGAAGGAAAGGACACAGAAGTAAAGGAGCCCGAAGCTAAGAAGAAGAAGTCCAAGGATGATAGTTCCTCAGGTTCTGACGATGAAGAGGCAAGTATCTATGCAATTCGTCTCTCCCATTGCCATCATTGTTTCTGAAAGAGGTGTCATAAAAAACATGCTTTTACCTTAATCTCTCTTAATCTCAGAAAAATAAAGGCAGAAAGAAACAGCAAAATGCAGATGTGGACAAAGATGTGCGGCGGCGGAAAGCTGATGAATTGAGAGAGTACGTTTATACACAGCAAATGATAAAATGTAATCATGTGTGTCTTAATCCTGGATAGAGTTATGACATGTTGTATTTATTGCTATCTCGTAGACCAGGTAGAGATGAAGAGAAGAAAAATGAAGAGAGGACAGGAGCCAAGAAAAAAGGTAATTTTGCCGGTCAAAACAAAAAACCTATATATTCATATTTTTGTGGCAAGCTAAAAGTCAATTGTAGGTACAAAAAGATTTTAGTGACCAATCAAAATATCTATTTTTTATTTATATTTCAGTAAAGTTTTTTAAAAGTAGTTATTTAAGAATAATCATGTTTTCTTCCCTTTTCTTTCTTCACTTAGAAATGTCAACTGACTTGAAACTGCAGAGACTGCACAGTGAAATCAAAATTTCACTGAAAATTGACAACCCTGTAAGTTCACATTTCTCTTCTGGCAACTTTATGAATCAGTGTTCTCCTGCACTGAGCTGATGAAGACAAAACCCGTCAATGCTTCATCTAAAAGATCCATCAAAGACTAAAATAGTATTTACCCATAGACGCATACTTTTCTCATTGTGGTTTTATTGCACTGTTTAAATTATGCCAGAATGCTTGGACTCTTATGTGGGTATCTTAAGGTTAAGAATAAGCCTGCTACTCCATCCTTGTTAATGCGCTCCTTGCATTATTCAGTCTGTCGGGGCTCAGATCTGCGCATGAGCTTCTACTTTAGTTCACTCAGTTTTAACTGGGCTGTGGGAAAACATAACTGGCATTTTTCCTCTTATTTTTACCCCTCAACCATATAATGCTGATGTGGTATTGGCATCACCTCAAATTGATACCATAGGTGTATCTTCTAAAAATCTGTATTTTGGACTTTTTTTTCCCATGCCATCTGTATTATTCCCTGTCTCTTGTCACTAGGATGTGAAGAAGTGTCTGGATGCATTAGATGAGATTGGTGCCCTTCAGGTCACAACCCAGCATCTGCAGAAACACAGCGAACTCATCGCCACGCTCAAAAAGGTAACAGCGTGAAGGAGTCTTATTTTGGATGCATTCTGCATCAGCGTTATTTCATGAGTGGTAATGCCTTCCTTATTTGTTCATGTCCTAGATTCGCAGATTCAAAGCAAGCCAGGATATCATGGACAAGGCCACCATGTTGTACAATAAGTTTAAGAGCATGTTTCTGGTTGGAGAGGGTGACTGTGTGCTCAGCCAGGTGCTGAACAAATCTTTAGCTGAGCAACGGCAGCACGAAGAAGCAAAGAAAGGAGCGCTGAAGAGGGTTGAACAAGCCAAAGAAAATAATTCGGGTACAGATCATCACATTCTTTCTTTCTTTCTAGCCTACCTTTACATTAGCCGTTTAGCATGCATGGGCCTATATATTTTTGGACACTTGCAAAATGTATTTTGCAAAAATATTGCATCAAAGCAGAGACAATCTTATTATGTTGTGATTGCAGCCATTCCTGGACTTTGTGAATGGTACCATGGTTGTGTGTGTTTCATTTTTGTATTTTAGCCTTGTTGTGCTGGGTGGGAGATAAGCACAGCTTTTTAAGATAGACCACAAACATTATCAATACATGATCTAACATTCCACTAACTCTGTCATTCTTCCCTTGGAGCATATTTCTCTTACTTTTGTGCTCTGTTTAAGAACTACCATTTTATCTAAGAGCTTTCATAAGGGGTATGTGTTTTGAGAATAACTTTGATCTTTATCAGATTATAATCTTAATCTTGAGGGATTCTGTTAAAATATAAATCTAAGAACCTTGACACCAACAGCTCCTTGTACTTGGAAGCTTTATATATGGTCCTTGGAGCTTGTGTATTTTTCCTGTATTATGCCACTGACATTGTATTAGAAAATCTGCCTGAGGTGTCACTTATTTAGGGTTCTGTCTTTGTAGTTCAGGGGAGCCGATCAAAGGTTTATGAGTGAGTCAAAGAGTCAACGACTCACTGTGGTTTAACAGCTCCTCACCACATTAACTGTCAATGCAGACATTGGTATTAAAGCTGGTATAACTGCAGCATGTGAGCTCAGTGAGAGAGGTTTTCCACTTGACTGGTGCCAATAAAAGTTTACCTTAATTGGAGGTCTTATCCATGCACGCCTCGACTTGGTTTTTCGGGGCGTTTTCCATTAGGTGATAGTACCTGCTACCTGGCACTTTTTTAGTACCTACTCAGCCAGGGTTCTCAGTGATCTAAAAATGTAATGTCAACAGACTGCACACCACTGATTGGCTAGTCAACTCAATAAATCACAAGAGTTTCTTCCACATGAAAATCAAAACAAGGGGAAATGGTGTCATAAAAAACGCCACTGTGGTCCTCGAGTCTGACAAAAAGCCATAAACTGAGCGCCGGTATACCATCGCCTTGACGTCCCGCTTTGTTTTGGCGTTCGTGTCGCTTGCAAATGACATCACGGGACTGTCAGCTGCTATAACAACCCCACGGATATTAGGTGGTGCTCGGTTGTCACCGACCAAAACCAAGTCAAGTCGAGCCAAATAGGTACTAGTGGAAAAGGGCTATTGGTGTTGAATTCAGCCCGATATGATGGCTGCTCTCCATCCAGTGATTTGCAGGATTGTAATGATTCTTTAGGACTGATGATGCAGGTTTGTGTCCCTGCTGTGGAGCACTACACACAGCTCCTGGATGGAACATTTCACAATAAATCAAGACCATCACTGATTCCTAAACAGAGGTGCAGTGCATACAATGATAAAGTTACAGAGTGATATGAAGATATTTTGACCTGTTTTAATTTACCAAAATATGCCAGACTGGCAAACAGGCACGGATGCTAAAAAGCATGTTTCTACAGAAAGTAATGCACATTTATTATGGGTTGATACAGATGGTATGTAAAAGGTCTGCATAACCTCTAGGTCTAAAAAGTGAAGTCTCTGTGCAGGTGCCTTAAACCTGCATTTGCTGCCCACCAGGAGCCGACTCCTCTGGCTTCAAGGAAAACAACCCTCGCCTCCCATTCTCAATGACTAATGACTGCCCTGATGAGATGATTTTAGTCCCTGGTTTGGAATCTTTTTTATTACAATGTGACAGTCATTTAGGAAATTATGGTCCCCCACTGGACTTTAGAACAAGGATGAAACAAGATTGCTAGTTGGAGAGTGTGCTGTGTCCCTCAGATACTTGTGACATATGCTTTTAAAACACTAAGATGGCAAAGGCTAAAATGCTCAGATCAGGGTTTCCCAAGAGAATGTCACTAACCAGTAGGTGTAGTCATGGTAGCTGCATCCATCCTTTATATATATATGTTGTCTGATGGATTTTATTCTTATAATGGTGAGTAGGAGAAAGTTTTTATCAAATAGTGTGGAAATGGCAGAAATAACAGAAAATGTCAGTTAAGGTAACACAGATCTCTTTCCATTACGTTAAACAGAAGGTTTGCGCTTACTATGTATTCAGCCTTTAAGGGCGTGACTGAGCCCCGGGCACAAGCTAGTGATGATGGTAACTGGTATATGGAAATAAGATAACTATAAGCTATTTTGATGACTGCAAGGGAAAACAGTAACAGAAATGGGATAAAGCTGCATCTAGGACGTTCTGCTCATTATTTTAAATTCATTATGAACTTCTAACACACTTAAAAATACCAGTAAACAGAAACAGTGTTCCTCTGCTATCAGCTTCTTCTCCCCTTCCCAGGGGGACGTCACAGGATCAGTGCGGTTTGCATCCTTTCCAGAAAAACTAACCTTAATTACCTTATCCTTGCTTGAAAATACAGTACTACTATCAAAATGTGTGCTTTTTATGAAAGGTATTTTTTTTAAGTGCATAGCATGTCAAATGGATAGAAAATCGTATTTATTTTTGTAAGATCCGGACCGGTCATATGCCATCACATGCTCCTGTCATGGCTCAGGTTGTGCAGCGATGACTCTGTTTGACTCAGCCTGTGCGTCTCTGCCGAACAGACAAAGTGACAAATGGTGATGTCGGCCCCGACGAGAAGAAGCAGGAGATGGAGAGAGAGAGGCTTCCCGAAGATGCTTCAGCAGGAGAGAATCAAAGGTAGCTTTGAGAACACAAGCTTGATTGTGATCCTCCTGCATGCTTGATGGCCTAAACGGAAACTCAGTGTAAATCAGTTGAACCCATTAGTGCTGGTTATATAACTCCAATTCATAATGTATGCATAGTTTTCAGGGCAGTGCCACACATGTGGGTTGTTAACTTTTTCCCCTCTTGGTCTATTATACAAAAGGTCATCCTGGAAGGTGCTGTGTGATACCTGCCCACTTCCACCTCGGCTTTGAGGTTCATACAAGTCACAAAGTCAATGAAGGAAATAAAGCCTTTAGAGCTTATTTTGTTATGTGCTGATTTGATCAAGTTTTCTTACTTCCATTAACAGAATCAAGGCCCTTGCCTCCTGCTCATGACTTAAAGTAGGCATTTGAAAATGCATTCAAATATATGGTTTCATTTTTTTATAAAAGAAGTCTTTGTTGGGGAATATTTAAGATATTTGATGTTAAAGGGGATGAGAACTTCTGTTCCTATGTTTCTGTTTTGTTTTTGTTTTTTTAAATAAAGAGCATTGAACATTGAAATTCAGTTTCTCAAATACACTGTAGCTCTTGATCATCACAGTCTAACACAGTCAGTTAAACTGCAGGGATTTCAGTCTGTCCAGTTAGGAAGGATCAAGCACCGTGAATGCATTTCATCTGCTTTGGTGCAAATTAAATTCAGGTGCACTGGAGAAACAACAACAAAGAGCATGCTCAGGCACGTGTATGCTTGTGATTAACATTTTTGGTATGATTTTGAATCTAGCCTTCACAAGGGTTGATGATTTTAGTTTCCATTGATTGTGCACAAGTGCTACATGTGCCATACATGTTAGAAGGATAACGTTTGGTCTTCCAAGGATTTTTACTAAAAATAAATGAGTAAATATAAAATATCAAGACTTTATCCTCATTATTTTTTAATGAACTGTTTTAACCTTTATCCCTTTATTATTTATTTTGGACTGTAGTGCCCCAAAAGCTCAGGAGGAGTCCACTTGAGTGTCTTGCAGGCCTGAAGAAAGGAGATTTGCTGCTGTAAAACTGGGCTGATCACATGAGATCTCACGCCCAGTTTGTGACTGATGACATCCGCTGGTTTCCAGTTTAATTGATTTTTTTTTGTTGTTGTTTTTTCTGCATTGCTGCTGCTGAAAGCTTTCATCAGCCCAACCCCAGGATCGCGACTGATTGCATATATTTTAATTTCATGCTGTCTGTAATCTTTAACTTCTAGACACCTTATGCTTAGATGCATCTGTTTGAGTAGCGACACGACTTGTAAATCTGCAACCTTGAGTTTGTCAAACTTTAACGAGGATGGGAGAGTGTTAGTGCGGG